CTTAAGAACAGCAACAACAGTGATTAGACAGTGATACCCAAAGTACTGTGCTTATCCCTGTTCTGGTAGTAATAGACAATACGATTTAATAGGAGAATGTTAGAAAAGTCCCTTATTTGAAAATTACATGATGTTGGTTTGTTCTGTTGAGTTGTGTGCAACTCATAGTGACCCTATGTACAACAGCCCTAAACTATGCTGTATACTATGCCAGTCTTACTGTCTCCAACACACCTAACCCCTTTACCCAAGTCACTGAGTCAATCCATTTCATTGAGGGTCTTTCTTTCTTACTCTATCCCTCCACCCTCTCAAGCGTAATGTCCTTCTCCAAGGACTTATCCTTCCTTGCAGCATGTCCAAAGTATGCCAGACCATGCTTCAGAATCCTTGTCTCCAAAGAGCAGCCTGGCCTCTCCTCTCTAAGATGAACTTGTTTTCTTAGCAGTCGACGGTATATTCAATACTCTTCTTCACCACCACAGATCAAAGGCATCAGTTCTCCTTCTATCATCCCTAGTTATTGCCCAGCTTTCTGATGCACAACACGTGATTGCAAAGACTGTATCAGGTTCACTTTAGTATCCAAACTGACATTGTTTTAGAGTAGTTTGGAGAGGTCTTTGACAACAGACTATCCCAATGCAATACATGTTTTAATTTCCTGACTGCTGGTGTCAAGAGTGTTAATTGTTGAGCCAAGCAGAATAAAGCTGTTGATAATTTCAATCTCTTCACCATCTATCATGATGCTGCCAATTGGCCCAGTGGTGAGAATTTTTGTTTTCTTGATGTTGAGCTTCAATCCATACTGAAGGCTGCATTCCTTGACCATCTACAGCAAGCGCTTTAGGTCCTCCTCAGTTTCAGCAAGCAAGGTTGTGTCATTTGCATAACACAGATTGTTGATAACTCTTCCTCCAATCCTGATGGCACATTTCTCCTCATAGAGCCCAGCATCCCAGATAATCTGTTCTACTTGTAGGCTGAAAAGGTATGGAGATAGGACTTCCTCCAATCCTGATGCCACATTTCTCCTCATAGAACCCAGCATCCCAGATAATCTGTTCTACTTGTAGACTGAAAAGGTATGGAGATAGGACACATCCCTGGCGTACACCCTTCCCAACATTGAACCGTGCAATATTTCCTTGCTCTGTTCTGATTACTTCCTCCTGATCCAAGTATAGATTGCACATAAGCATGATCAGGTATTCTGGGATACCTATTCTTCTCAGAGTCAGCCATAGTTTGTTGTGGTTCACACAGTCAAATGTCTTTGCATAGTCAATGAAGCACAGATAGACATTCCTCTGGTACTCTGTGCTTTCAGCCAAGATCCCTCTAACATTAGCAACAATATCCCTAGTACCATGGCCTCTTCTAAACCCAACCTGCACTTCTGGAAATTCTCTGCTGATGAACTGTTCTGGTCGTTTTTGGATAATCTTCAGCAGAATCTTGCTTGCATTTGATATTAATGATATTGTTTTATAATTTCCAAACTCTCAGATCACATTTCTTTGGAATGGGAACAAATATAGATCTCTTCCAGTCCGTTGGCCAAGTGGTTGTCCTCCAGATTTCTTGGCACAACTTGGTGAGCACATCTAGGACAGCATTTCTTTGTTGAAATATATCAATTGGTATACCACCAATTCTTGGAACCTTGTTTTTGCCAATTCTTTCAGAGCAGCTTTAACTTCTTTATCACCACAAGTTCTTGCTCATAGGTTATTTCTTGAAATTCTTCTTTGTCCACCAATTCTTTTGGTACAATGAGTCTGCATACTCTTCCATTTTCTTTTAATACTCTGGATCATTTAATATTCTGCCCAAAGCATCCTGCCAAATGCACCTTGAGGCTTGAATTTGATCTTCAATTTCTTGAGCTTAAGAAATACTGAGTAAGCTCAGCACCTTTGGTTTTCTGACTCCAGCTCTTTGCACATTTCATTAGAATACTTTACTTTGTCTTCCTGTGCTTCCCTTTGAATTCTTCTGTTCAGCTCCTAAATATCTTTATTTCTTCCCTTTGCTTTTTAGCTTCTCGGTGCTCTAATACAACATTAAGAGTCTCTTCTGACATTCATCTTGGTATTTTCTTCCTCTGTCTTTATAATGACTTTTGCATTCTTCCTGGATGATATTCTTGATATCCTCCTACAACTCATCTAGTTTTTTCTCATTGGTTCTCAAGTCCTCAGACCTGTTCCTGAGATGGTTTTGAAATTCAGGTGGGATAGACTCAAGGTCCTTACATATCCAAAAACAATAAAATGTAAAGTTTTATAAGCCAATAAGAAAATTTAATACATTTGCTAATTAAAAATACTAATTTACAAAAAATATTACCTTTTGTATACAAACAGTTAACAAATGGGAATGTAGACAATGGTTTAAATTACTCCATTTATAATTATTATTGTTTTATTAGTTACCTGCAAGGTAATTTTGAGTTTTAGCAACCCTTGAATACAAAACTGCTGAGTGTAAAACTGCTCCATGAGATTTTCAACACAATGATAAGTCACTAGATCCGTCTTTCTAGGCATCTTTCAATGGATTTAAACCCACAGCCGTGGAACTAGTAGGCAAGTGCTTAACTGTATCACTTTATAATTCCATTTACAAAGCTGTTTGTTGCTAGAAACCATTGAGTCCACTACAAGTCTTAGTGACCCGATGAACAATAGATCTGAATCTTGTCCTATCCTGGACCATCCTTGACATCTCTGATATTCTGTAATACATTGTGTCAGTCTGTCTTGTTGAGAATCTTCCTCTCTTCTTCTGACCCTCCACTTTCCTAACAGGTTGTTTTCTGATGACTGGTCCCTGTTGTAAGCATATGCAAATATATGAGATGTAGTATCATCACCCTTGTCTCTAAGGAGCATCCTCATTGCACTTCCTCCACAATAGATTTGTTGGATTTTTTAGTAATTAAAATATTTTAATATACAATGTTGTTGTTATTATTGATAAGTGTCATCGAATTGAGTATAACCCATAATAACCCTGTTAATAACAGATCTGAACCCTGTCCTATCCTGTGTCATCCTTACACTTTCTGACACCCTGGAGTCCATGGCTGCAGTCACTGTAATCACTGCAATCAACCCATCTTATTAAGGGTCTTCTTCTCTTTCCCTGGCCCTCCATCTTTCCAAGCATATTGTCTCCTTCCAAGGAATAATCTCCTCTTAATTGTTATTATGATTCATTTACAAGAGCATTAACTATTATTATTAACAGTTGGAAGCAGGAGTGGCATCCACTTCCTAAATAACATACCTCCAAAAACTCTATGAACTTCGATAAATGTTGGTAGTTTTAGAGGGGCTTCAAGCCTTTTGTTCATTAACAACAACAACATTAATTTACAGTAGCAACCAAAAAAATAAGTAAATAAAATGAAATATTTAAAAAGATTGTTTTAATTTAAAGGAAAAAAAGTAAGTTACAAGCAAGAAGTACTTTTGGTAAAGATTCCATTTTTAAGCTGCATTAATTTCCTGCTTCTATGTTGATGTGTTTCAAGAATGATTTTTTAAAGCATGTCTAAGCTGACAGCTGATAACTACAAATTATTTTATTTCATCTTCTACAGTACCTGTGAGTTAAAAAAGAAACTGAGGCTCGGGTTTTGAAGTAATTTGCTCAAGATTTCACTCTTGAGACAGGAGTGAATTATGAAAACATAATTATTATGTATTCTTTTCTTATTTCTCCTACTAATTAGTGTGTTCCTTGGAGGCAGGTTGTGTGTATGTCTCTCTCTCTCTCTCTCTCTCTCTCTTTTTTTCTATTGGAATCCCTAGCAACACTGTAGAATAGACACCGTATCAACCCTCAAAGGTTTTCTTCCCTTCGCAGAATTGGGGCACATTTCAGGGGCCTGCAGAAATCCAAGTGGTGAGCATTTACCTTGTCTGAGAGAGACTCCTTTAGCTCGTTTCCTTGTGTCTGTATAGTTTCAGTCAAAAGATCGTAAGCTTTTTAAAGACAATTCGTTGGCAGTGAATTTAAAAAAAAAAAGAAATTGCTCTGTCCAAATAAGAAAATTATCACCTGCAGGCAACATGGTGGTCTCCTCCCTCCTTTTTTTCCCATGCTCCTTTACCTAAATCTGCAATACCAAATCCAGAATGGAAATTAAAAAGGGCTTGTATTTTTCAATATATAGTCACAGACTCCCGAAAATTACTATGTAAGTGGATATTTTACTTCTGTACTTAGTTATCAAATCTATGTTAATCTCTTCCTTTTTCCTTCTGGGGAGTGTGTGTGTGAGTATGAGAGAGAGAGGAGGAGGAGGAGGAAGAGGAGGAGGGAAGGGAAGGGAAGGAGGGAGAGAGGGAGAAAGAAAAGAAGAGCTGGTGGTGGGGACTCTGTTGTCTCCAGCTGCGCTAGAAAGAGTCTCGGCTTGATCTCCTCTACCTAAGTTGCTTTGCAGGACTTTTCTCCTCCTCACATGTCTTTTTTGCCTTCCCCTAGATATTTTTGGTCACCGTCTGGAATTTTGAGCTCTACATGATCCCCCTGGCCTTGTTGCTGCTCTTTCTTTACAATTTCATCAACCCAGTGAAAGGGAAATCCAGCAGTGTCCAGGACAGCCAGGTAAGTGAGGATTCCAGTCAGTCAGTTGGGCACTGGACTGGAGGCAAAATGTGTGAACAGCAGTGAAACACAACCCTCATGTCTGTTTTTCAGTCACCATGTCTGTGTTTCCTTCTAGTCTTCCACATAGTTCCCAAGTATAACAATCTCATTTTTTTAGGACAATATTTTGTGGCTTTCTGGCTTGTTTAGGGTACCATTTCCTAACCTCCACGGTGCTGCGGGAAGCCCAGTCCCATGAGAGACAGCCTCAGCACTTTCTACTCTTTTTTTCCTCCCTGACTGTCCTGTCTCCCACATCTTTTTCTAGTCTCAGTTTATGGGACCTTATATTCAGAGTTTTAAGATTTGTAATATACTTTTCACTTTCCAGATCTTTTCAAACTGAAAATGTTGGATTTTGAAGCCTTATAATACCCTTCCTAAAAAGACCACCTTAATGATGTCTTTTATTCCCACAAAATAAAATAAAAAGCAAGATGATAGTTGTCACTTTTATTCCCTCTCATCATTTTATTGTGCAAACTGGGGGGAGGGAGGTAAAGAAAAAAGTGCAACAATGAATAAATGAAAATCCAAAATCTCTGTAAATGTTCATTAAAATTAATAAAATAAAATTTAAAAATTTTTTTTAAAAAAAGACATCTCTGAAATAGTTGCTGTTTAAGTAAAGGAACAGTGAAAAAAACACAGGACTCTCAGAGAGCTGGACCAATGCAGTGGTGAACAGAGTGTGGAAATTTTCAAATAATATGACTGGTATCACATACAACAGAACCCTGCTGAAGATTATTCAAAAGCAACTCAAGCAGTACATCAACAGAGAACTACTTGAAATACAAGCTGGGTTTGTTTAGAGGAGGGCATGGCACAAGAGACATTATTGCTAATGTCAGAAGGATCTTGACAGAAAGCAAAGAATATCAGAAGAATGTCTGTGTTTCCTTGACTATGCAAAGGCATTTGACTGTGTGGATCACTAATTATGGCTAACCTTGAGAAAAATGGGAATCTTAGATCACTTGATTATGCTCACGTAAAACCTATAGTCAGTCCAAGAAGCAATCCTCAGAACAGAGCAAGGAAATACTGCATGGTTCAATATCAGGAAAGGAGTGAGTCAGGGATGCATCCTATACCCTTTCAATCTCTGTGTGGAACAGATTATTCAGGAAGCTGAGTTTTATGAGGAGGAATATGGCATTAGGATTGGAGGAAGACACAACATTGCTTGCTGAATCTGAAGAGAATCTGGAATGTTTACTTCAGAAAATCAAGGACCATAGTCTTCAATATGGATTGAAGCGTGACATCAAGAAGATGAAGATTCTCACCACTGGGCCAGTTGGCAGCATCATGATAGGTGGAGAAGTGCTTAAGATTGTTAACAGTTACAGCTTGCTCAGCTTCACACTCAGTACTCTTCGTACCAGCAGCCAGAAAAAGCAAAAAATGAATTGCATAGGGAAAGTCTGTGGTCAGGGACCTCTCCAACATACTGAAGAGCAATGATGTCAGTCTAGAGACTAAGGTGTGGCTGATTCAGGTTATGGTTTTCGCAATTACTTGCTATGCATCAGAGGATAATGGAAGAAGAATTGATGCCTTTGAATTGTGGTGCTGGAGAAGAGTTTTGAACATACCATGGACCGCCAAGAAAACAAGCAGATCTGTCTAGAAGAGAGTGAAACTAAGTTTCTCCTTGAAGGCTAGTATTTTGAAGTTCTGTCTCACATACTTTGGGCATCTGGCCAGGAGGAACCAATCCTTATAGAAGGGCATCATGCTCAGAAGGGTGCAGGGGCAGCACAGGAGAGGAATAAGGGTAAGATGAATTGACATAGTAACTAGGGTAATGGGGTAGTGTGTCAGAGTCAGTGAGACTAGCTCAGGCTCAGACAGGCTTCAGAGCTTTTATACTTAGGGGCACTATGAGTCACAGGTGACTCGACAGCACTTAACAACAACTACAAAATCCATAGATTAAATGAAGTTTCATTCTTCATGTTAGATCCCTTCTATCATTTTAAACATCATTTTTGCTCCATTCCAGTCCAGGCTGAGTCTGAAAATATTTCAGACCATTTTTTTTTTATTTCAGTAACTCTTGATCAAAATGGATCAAAATACATCTTGATATATCAAATAAACATGAAATAAAGAGTACATTTTTTAATTATATGAAATGATTACCTAACTAGTTTTATGGTACCTTTGCTTTTCTCAGTGTGTATATTAGTGTATTGGTGAAATCTTAAGTCTGGATACTACTTTTGAAATAAAAATCACAATTTAATCAAGAAACATATGTTGTTGTTAAGCCTCACAGAGTCGACTGTAATTCTTGTACGACAGGAACCTTGCTCAATCCTGTGCTATTCTCAAGAATCTCTGCTGTGTTTTAACTTCTTGTTGAAACCACTGTGTTAATACATCTAAAAGATTGTCATATTCTCAAGGAGATGCAGAACAAATTTTCTAACATAGTAAAAATCTTTTCAGAGCTGCTGTACATAGGGTCGCTGTGCGTTGCAGCTGACTCGATGGCACATAACAGTAACAGCCCTTCATTTACAATTGCCCTTACAACAAAGTACATAACATGAAAGACCAACAGTTCCTCTGTAGAAGAAAGGTAGGATATTTCCTCTGACAGAAAGATTTACAACCTTGTCAACTTGCAAGTTGGAATCTACTCGTTGACACTGAGTTTGGATTTTGTTTGCTCAAGAATATCTAAGACTTGGGTGATACTAAGAAACACAGTGCCTGTAGCTTCTATGGTTTCTGGATTGAGGATTTGTCAATAGATTGAGGTCCTGGAAGATATAAATGTGACCTCTCAGAACGGTTTTTAATTCCTGAGATGTTATGTAGAGATTAGAGGACTGAAAAGGAAGTATGTTAAAACTTTATGACATCCATGGATATCCTCATTAAAAAATCGATGATTATCCATTCTTTCTACGTAGGCAACATGAATGTTAGCTGTCAACTCTTGAGAGCCCTGAACCCAGTGAAATGAAACACTGGCTGGTCCTGCACCAGCCTCGGGAGAGGGTGCGACTGGACCATTGTACTCATAGGACATTTGTTGGCTCATTTGTAGTAGATCACCAGGCCTTCCATCCGCATGTCTCTTGGTCTTGTTGCTCCCTTTAAACCTGTTCAACACCACAGCAGTGCTTCAAGCCACCACTGACAGACACGTGAAATGCTTGATCTGAGATTCCAATCTGAGTCTCCTACACAGAAGACAAGAATTTTCCCACTGAACCACTACCGTCTCGTACATGGCTAAAGTGTGAGGTCACCAATGAAATGATTAGAGGAATTTATATTTAGTTTCACAGTTTTCCCCACCAAATACAACCTAGTTTTTTGAGGTTTGACCTTGAAGGAGATCTGTAGTTTATGACTGTGGGGCTTCTCCTGCCTTGGAGATTTTTCCCGAGTGAGAAGATACTTCATTTGTGGTTTTATAGTAACATCCAGTTTTGTGTGGTCTACTGGCTTCATCATTAAATAATTATTGTTGTTGTTGTTGTTATGGGCTGTTGAGTTACCTGCAACTCATAGCGACCCTATGTACAGCAATTCTGAAGCCTACCCTGTCCTGAGCCAGTTCTCACTGACTCCAGCCTTCCAACCCCCATTATCCCAGTTACTGTATCCATCCATCTCATCCCGGATCTTCTTCATCTGCACTGTCCCTCCACCCTTCCGAGCATGATGTCCTTCTCCAAGGATGAGTCCCTCCTGTCCATGTACCCAAAGTATGTGAGACGCAACTTCAAAATCCTAGCCTCCAATTTGTTTTTAGCCATTATTCTTAGGTAGAATGAACTAAACAACTATAGATATTCAACAAAGAATTCAGTGAGAAAATGTATACTTTTGGACTTTAAGTGACAAAATGAACCCATGAAACCAGGATGTTCATGATCCCTAGACCGAAGAGAAAGGTGTCTTTTATTATTTCAGGAACTTACTTGCTTTCATGAAATATGCTTGTTGCCATTAGTGAATTAGTTCTTCAAAGAATCAATGAGTGTCCTACAAACTGCTAGTTGAGGCTCATGAGAATTTGGAAACTAGGGAAGGTGCCTTGGTGGCAGAGGGTGTATAGTGCACAGCTTACCACACTGCAGTTCTGATCCATTAACCAGCCTGTAGGAGAAAGAGGAGGAGTTTCTTCTTACTGATATGAACATTTGTAGAAGCCTGAGGCAGGGTCCCAGTGAAGGGTCTCTATGAGCTGAAACCTCCACAACAATAGTGTGTTACACAAGACTCCCAGTCCTGGAGACATTTCTTGCTGCTGCTCAGTGGTTTTATGAACTATAGGAGAATATTCTCTAGATACTTTAGCATTACTTTATTTCGAGAACATGCTATTGATGTTTTCTTTTAATCCTAAAGCAATGGCATCTAGACAGTTAAGCAGGGAGCAAGTTCTCAAAGTGAAAACAAATCCAGTCTTGTTTCTGAGTTAATAAACACACCTGATTGTATACCAACATGTGTTGGCTTTTGAACATGATGGGGATATGATTAAAATTGACTACTAACTAGTTAGGATTTCTGAACTAACCCAACAAAAGTGTATTAACAGAGTAGATGGTACCCCAGCACCCACCAGCGTGTAAACCAGACACATCGGATTCCCAGTCTGAACCTGGAGTTTCCTTCCCTCCCTGACCTTCTCTACTGCCCCAGAGCCCAAGAAGATAACAATGCATTATTCTTGAGATTGATTGTATTCAGACGAATGCATTTTGTACTGTCTAAGGTTTCAGTAATGGCCCCAATGGGAAGGTGCAGCCGTTATAACAATGAGCCCAGCACAGAGTATGACAGTCTCCTCCCTAACATAGCTGTTGGTTCATTTGTCAGAATAAGAACAAAACTGTTTACATAAAGTACAGCCTGACAACGCATTTTAAAGCTGATGCCTTCAAAGGGCACTTGCCTTATTTATAGCTAACACTTTTATATAGATTATACATATTGTTTATAGTCATGCCACAGTGACCCTGAACTTTAAAAGTGTTATATTTCAAGAGGTTTTAATGGATTTTAAAAGTACTACCACTTAAATTGTGCAGAAAAACCATTCAAGATGTAGATGAGCTTTGTTTGCATTTGGAAACTTTAATTCAGAAATTGATGTTTTGTTTACAAATTGTGGATTTTTCTTTCAGGAGAGCACAGATATAGATGAAGAGGAGGATGAAGATGACAAGGTGAGTTTGTTCAAGGAAGAACATCAAAGGAACATAAACCCTACCACCAGACAGTACTCCTGTGGACTAAGTCTTTCCAGTCTTGTTGGTTTTAATATTAGATAATAACCAACATAGACCATGACACAAATAACCAACATAGACCATGACACATTTTTGTCACTTCAAAAACAAATATTCTTCTACTTACAATAAATATCTAAAAAATATAGGTACCCACAGTATTTTATGGGAATAAGTAGCAATGTATTTATTAATGAGTCCCAGGTTTCTGTTTTTGGTGGTGTTTTGGAAGTAGCGATGATGGTTGTGAAACATTATAAGTATAATTAACGCCACTTAGAAATATTTAAAATGACAGATTTCTATTTTATGTATTTTGTCATGGGAGTTTTAAAATGATATCCTATTTAAAATTATTGTTGAAACAGTAAAATATATGAATTACAAGATTTTTAAGAAGTGTACCAATGGAAGGCTTTTCCCTGGCACAAGCCAAGGACAGCCTTCCCCATTGTGGATGAAAAGTACTCTGGGAGGCCGAACAGAAATCAGGCAAAACTGCTGTTACTGTTGCTTGGTGCCTGCACTCTGTGGGGTTGATCATCCACTTGACTTTCCCAGCTGATGTCGGCAGCATTTATAGCTACGTGTCTCCGTACATCTGTCCTTTTTCTCTTCTTCTGGGAAAATCTTTCATATTTACTACTTTTGATTTAATTATGCTTTCAATCACTAGCCCCTTCCCCTAAATCCTATGGAGTCCTTGATGATAAGAGGAGACTTGTGGGAAAGGGAAAAATGGGAAGGGTAGTTTTGGTTATCACAAGAGTCCACAATTAAGATTTCGTAGTGGAATGTACTTGGGATGGTGGGAGGGTTGCGGGGGGATTGTGTACCAGGGAGGGAGTGTTTCTTTACTTTTCAAAGAGAGGAGCGAACTAGGGGGTGGGGGAGGGCTCGGCGGGGAGAGAAGTGCAGCAATGAATAAATGGAAATCCAAAATCTCTGTAAATGTTCATTGAAATTATTAAAATAAAAAAAGAATAACTATCCAATATAAAATACCCACAAAATAGAGCTCACTTTAAAACCAGTGTCTTCATAACACAGGTATCCTAACAAATGACAGTAGCAGATAGTTTTCCCCATTCAAAAGAACTTAGATGAATCATGAAGTGAGTTTTTATTTGTTGTACCAGAGTGGTCAGTAGGCACAAAATCATAAAATAAAGTTTGATGCGTTCAAAAGAAACCAGTCTTTATTTTCCCAGCAGAGGTCACATAGATGCTATATTTTTTCTTTATGAACTGATGATAGTTACTTCTGGATAATATAACTTTTTTAATAGTGTGCATTACAGAAGTTACTGTTCATATAAATGTTTAAGGGCTTGGCCACAAGCCAGGAGGTTGATTGTTCAAACACACCCAGAGGCACCTCAGAAGATAGATTGGATAATCTCCTTCCAAAAGGTTCTGTCGAGAAGCTCTACAGTGTATATGGGCCATTGATATATGATGGAACCAAGATGATGACAGTTGACAGGAACAACAAAGTGCTTGATAGATAATCTCGTGTGTTAATGAAACTACTTTAAGCCTAGACTATATAGAATTCCTGAGAAAGTCTTTCCTCTTTGGCCACGCCTCTGTATATGAGACCTCTATAGAGAATACACACTGTTTGAGAGTCATTGTAGGGATTGTCTTTGCCCATCTGATAAAGGAGAGCATCAAACAAGAAGGCAGTAAGTGAACAAGTGGATTACCTGACTGGCAAACAACATCAGACCATGAAATCTGGAGCAGTGATTTTGAAGATCCAGTCTTCTTAATAGCCCTAGGGCTGCCTCAAGAACTGCAGGTCCAGCCACTTTGGATCATGCTTCAAGCCACTTTCTTGGAAAGAAATGAAGGGTGGGACCGATAGAATATATTGGAATGGTGGTTGGAACTGTTGTCATCCAACATTGCTGCAGACCAAGCAGTTGCATTGACCTGCCCCACATTAACAGCTAAGTTTAGTACTGTTACTATCAGGTGTCATCAAATTAGCTACAACTCAATGACCCTGTGAACAACACAATGAACTTTACCCTATTCTGAACCATCATCAAGACCTCCATAATTTCAAGCCCATTTACTGTACTCACTGTCAATCTACATTGTTGAGGGCCTGCCTTCCTTCCTTCCTTACCTTTGCTGACCCTGCCATTCCCAGTATGATGTATTTTCTCAAGTTGGCACTATTATTGTTGCTGCTTTGTGCCATCAAGTAGGATCTAAGCCACACCTGATGTATTCGAACCATGTGCCTGTGGGATTGCAACACAGCTTCTTACCACTACCACTTTGTTGTTGTGTACCATTGAGTTGAAGCTGACCCATGGCTAACCCTCCAGTAGTTTTTCAGAGTCAGTAAATCACACAGGAATTTATTTTCCATCTTTCTCCTGTGGAACCACTAGTGGAGTTCAACAGCATGCCTTTAGGTTGAAAGCACAGGTCCTTACCTATAGGGCATTATTATTATTATTATAGAGCAGTCCTATTCTGTCCTTCTAGCACAGTTTAATTCCTGTAATATTTTCTTCTGAGTTGTTATGTGCTATTGAGTCAACTAGTACTCATAGTGACCTTATGAAAAATAAGACTGAACTCTGCCCTATCCTGCCCTAACCTGCCATCATTGCCACAGTCACTGAGTTAATCTGTCTCATCCAGGGTCTTCCTTTCCTGTGCTGTCCTTCCACCCTTTCAATCATGATGTCCTTCTCCAAGGACTAATCCCTTATGACAACATGCCCAATGTATATGAGACAGCATTTCAACACTCTTGCCTCCAAGGAGCAACCTGGTTTCACCATCTCCAGGACAGACCTATTTGTCATCTTGGCAGTCGATGATAAGTTCAATACTCTTCACCAGCACCACAATTCAAAGGCATTGATTCTTCTTCTTTCATCTTTATTCATTGTCCGTGACTCAGATGCTCAACAAACAATTGAGAAAACCACTTCCTGGACAAGGCCTGGATCTCTAGACTGACATGATTTCTTTTCAGCTTTCTAGAGAGGTCCCTAACAGCAGATTTTCCCAATGCAATTAATATTTTGATTTTCTGACTGCTGGTTCCAAGAATGCTAATTGTGAATCCAAACAAGATGAAACTGTTAACAAGATCAATCTTTTCTTCATCTATTATGATGCTGCCAATTGGCCTGGTGATGAGAATCTTTGCTTGATGCTGAGATGCAATCCATTTTGAAAACTGCACTCCTTGACCTTCTGCAGCAATGGCTTCTATTCCTCTTCAGTTTCAGCAAGCAAGGTTGTATCATCCACATAGCACAGGTTTGATGGGTCTTCCTCCAATCCTGATCCCACACTTTTCTTCATAAAGTCTATTGAAAAGGTATGGAGAAAGGAAACATTTGACTGTGTGGTAGAGAAGAAAGAATTTTGCAATATACTGTTATGACCCATCATTTCTTATTGACTAAGTTTTGAAAGTGAATCTGTCTTAGTCCAGAAGCTTCACTAAAATTTACGATTCTGCCCATATTTGCAATACCAATGACATAGTTTCCAACATCACAACAACAAGCAAGCTGCCCCAGTACACGTCAGCACCCATACTTTCCAGCCCTTGTTTATGTTGTTTACATTCTTTCTCTGTGAGATTTGGCAGAGATCAAAATTTTATGACTGAGAAAAATAATGACTTTATAACTGCTTGAGCTCACATTGGCATACATATGATTTTTTTCCTTGAATAACAGCTGCCACCACAATTATGATGTGCTTATCTCAGCCATGGACACACAATCTCTGGGAAACCTCCATCAATAGTGTTCTGTATCAAAGGTCTTGCCTAGTGTCCCCTTCTGGCTTCTGTTGCATGTTAGACGTGACAGACCAGACTTCTGGGTATTGTAACACCCCCAGTGAGAGAGTAATTGTTTACAAATTATAGACACACAGGCTTTTCACCAAAACCAGAAGGGGCAACAAACTCATTTCTGCCTAAACTATACATCTTGGGAATTATGTTCCTTAATTGCCAGCCCCTTTCCCCACCACATATCATAGTGGTTGGTGTCAGAGGAGGAAATCCTCAGGAGACAAATGCCTTCTTCAATACACAGTCCATGGCCCATAGAGCCTGGGGTCCATCATGTTTTATTGTCGGGAACAGGGATTGTTATAAAACGGCATCACTGTTGCCTCTTTCTTCTCCTTATTGTTAAGAATACATGCTAGCAGCGTGTATTAAATACCAGATTAGACTCTTCAATTTTGCCTCCCTCTCTTTTGAGAGGTTTAAAGTTACAGCCTTGAGTTTTTCTTTCTTTTCTTTTTTTTTGAGGAGGGGGAGCTTTTTGGAAACTAAGGCTACAAATTAAATTTTTAGAAGAGAAAATGTCTTTCCTATTCCCAAATGTATATGTTAAAAAAAAATATTTGTTACAAATATATTTTGCTAGAGACCCCAGAACAAACAGATAATGGTTCAGCCAACAGCAATCAACTGACATTTCCTGTTTGTATTAGATTCCATATATGGAATCCTTCTATGTGGACCTTATTTGTACGGATGGATTACAATGAAAATTGCATTAATTTTCTACACTGTAAAGGTCAGTAATTGAAACATGAACCAAGAAACTATTGTATAAAATGCTGTATCCCCATACTTAGGAAAGGTCATACAAGACAATAATATCTTGTTTTCATTGCTGAAGGTATAAATACTTGCATTAGAGTCTCATTTCCTTTTCCAGCCCAACAGTCACTCAGATTATTTCAGCATTTACTATTAACATTAGAAAGAAGGCATTATGAGGCATCTTTTTAAAAAAAATCCTTCTTTATTGCCTTCACAATCAAACCACACTCTTGGTGTGGGATTTTTTTTTCAATTGTTTGCCTTTATTTTTAAACTCTTTTGACAGAAATAAGGCTTTATAAATTCTAGATATAGGTCCCTTATCTGA